GGAGGGCAGAGCCAGCCGCCGCCTCTTGCGCCCGCCGGGCCGCCCGCTCACACTTTTATGCCACTGCCTGCGATCGACTTTTCCGTTTTTGCAGACTGCGCCAGTTCGCACCAACTTTCCCTCTGAAGTTGCCTTTTTCTGCCTCTTCTCTTCTTTCGCTCGCTCTTCCCCTGCTGCGGTCCTTCAGCGAGGCTGGGGCTGGAGCGCAGGAGCCGAAGAGGAGCTAAGGAGCAGCAGCGGCGAGTGCCTCGCGGCCGGGAGCCGAGGGAGAGAGAGACCGAACGTAGACTTCTGCCTGGGTACCACCTGCCAGCAGAAGAGGAGGCTGAAAACGCGCGCCGGAGCAATTTATAGGCACCCAAGGCGCAGAGGAAGGGGAGCCGCTTTGGCATCTCATTGCAGCATCTGCTCTGCTCATCCCACTCAGGCAGAGTTTGGCATTACTCTGACAATGTGGGAAAATTTTTTTTCGGCCTCTCTTTCTCTCATCCCCCGCCACCCCCCAACCCCGCACAAGGTTGAACAGTGAGATCCTGAATACTCCCTTGCTGAACCCAGAGGATGGCAGCGCTCTCACTGGACGTCCGTGGGGGAGGGAGACAGACGTGCAATGGCCTTCAGAACTCAAGGGTCACACCTCAGCCCCCTGGGTCACCACTGCCAGCAGCCCCAATTGGGAGATGGAGGAGAAGGTTGAAAGGAGGGTGGCTTGGTTGACAATATTTCTCTACAGGCTCACCCACAGCCAGTGTTTCAGGTGTTTTTAAAAATGCCACTTTTAACATAAGGAGGGCCCTTTAGAATTGTCCAGATGGTAGATGTGTGGGGTGTTTTTTTTTTAACCTTATGGTTTTCCTCACCAGCCTTCTAAAACAGAATATAAGCTGTTACTCCGAGAACAGTAGGGTGTGTTGAAAAGCCAAAGGACATTTCTCAATTATTTTAAATGAACGTGCCCACCACACAAAGCGGGGGGGGGGCGATCGGTTCTTTTTACAAGTGTTGCAAATGGTGCGTGTATACATATATGCTCTGCTTACAATTCCAGCAGCCTTTCAGGAGGTACAGCCATTGGGCCCGAAGGTGTTACATGCATGAGAAATGATCACTGGTCAAAATGACTTCAAAAGTCTCAGGCTAAAGGAAGTAGCATTTACTGAAGTACTGGGCAAGATTTTTTCCAAAGATATGGAACAAGTCCTCTAAGCTCCATAGCACATTTCCTGCCTGTACGTGGGGGATGGGGAAAATAGAAAAAAATATGAGAAGGAAGAGCCTATGCCGTGAGAGAGCAGGAGAACGAACAGCCTGGATTTATAATACTAATGGAAAGCCCAGGAGTAGATATTAGGCAAGTTATCCCACCAACACATACATAAGACACACAAGAATAGCTTGAAATAAACAAGTAGAATTGATTCGTAAATCATACTTTTGCATTCAGGAGCAACGGATGTCAATCAAACATGGATGACATTTGCTTGTCAATATGGGGATGATGGCTGGGAAGACAGAGACTTACTACATCAGGGCGAGAATGTGAAATGAGAAGCAGGAACAAATAAGACTACAGCAACCAAACAAAACACTAACACCCTGGGTGACGATGTTGTCTGTGGGCTCCACAGCGTGGACACCTCCTTCTCTGGTTCTTCTGCCTATCCTGACCCCACCCTGTTGGTTTCATTCTTTCTTTCCTGCTTTCAAACTAAGGTCAAATGAGCAGGCAGAAGGAAACAGAGATTCATTGATTCTTTTAAAAGAAATGTCAGCAGTTCCTGCAGGTCTTTCCTGGGAGAATCAACTGTGAGTGTCGGGCAGTGGGGCTCAGCCTGGCCCAGGTCTCCACAGCACCTCAGCCTGGCTGATGAGGCACTCCTGCTGCTGGGAAATACTCCTTCCCACTTCTCAAACCTTTCACTTTTATTATTTATGAATGTGTGTCCATATCTTGGGTATAATTATACGTGTATTTCAGAATATTTCAATTCACGTGAGCTACATTATTTTCAGATGTTCAAGCAGCAGACACAGTTAAGTTCTGTCCTGGACCCAATATCTATTTTCCTAACACATCTTCTGGGTTGCTTCTCAAAAGTCACCTTCCCTTTGGAGGACAAGGTGGTAAAAAGTATGGTGTCAGCAATGGAGAGCCGTGAGTTACTGACATAAACTGTTCTCTGATACCACCAAATTATCAAACTTCATGAGACCTCTTTATTGCTAAAGAGGGTCCAGTGGGGGAAAATATCGAGAGTTTTCTAAAGGTAGGATTGTATAAATAAATTCTCAACAAAAGTCTCAAGACACATGGAGTTTCCTCTTTGAAGAATGCTCATCTCATAGAGAAACCAGGTACCTTGGAAGTAACTTTCTCCCCCACCCTGAGGATGACATAAAATAGTAGAGTTGGAAGGGACCCTAGCAAGCCAGTCTCCACCTGCTCACTCTGCAAATGGTGAGACTGAGACACAGAGCAGAGTGAGGCCATCCAATGCCAGGATAGCACACCTCGTTCTACTGAGCTTCACAGATACTGCATTTTGTACACATTGAAGGTTTGCAGCAACCACCAGGGAAAAGATTATGACTCAGTGAAGGCTCAGATAATGGTTAGCATGTTTTAGCAATACAGTATATTTAATTAAGGTATGCATATTTTTTTAGATTAATGCACACTTAATAGACTACAGCATGGTGTAAACATAACTTTTGTATGCACTGGGAAATCAAGGAATTCGTGTGACTCACTTTATTACGATATTCACTTTACTGTGGTCTTGGAACCAAACCCACAGTATTTCCAAGGCAGCCTGTGCACTTCCCGTACAACGTGGTATCGGCACATCCCAACCCAGCCCAAGACCTATGGTACTAGTCCCAGTAAGTGAGGCTTTCCTCTTTCCATTTTCTCTGATGCCAAAGCAAAGCTTGATTTTGCAACTGAGGGCTCTACCATCTCAAAGTTCTGCCGAGGTTTGGAAAGGTGCTCAGTAGTCATCACCCCATGAAGACTTCATCTCCCAGGTCACAAGGCCGACCCCCGTCTTTCAGTTGAATGCACAAACCCAGGCAATGCATGAACATTTTTGTGTTTTTTTAGTGAAGTTTAAATTATCGGTCTCCTTCCTTTTCTCTAGAAATGTCCCACCATGTACTTTGGAAGTAACTTTTTCCCCCCACCCCAAGATTTTCAGGGATGACTGAGTAGTATGGCTGGGTACCCCCACTTTCCACGGCTTGAATTTCTCAGAAGGTTCTCTGGAAAGTTACTCACGCTTTAGCCCTGATTCTGACAGTTTGAATAAACCATCTGATATGGCATATTACTCATCATCTTTGCATGTATATAATAATAGAAAATGTGTCAATTAAAAAAATATTTGATTTTCTTCAGTCCTCACCAGAGAACCAAGCTCTCTCTCATATTGGATAGTATTAATTTTGGAAGTAGGCCTTAGAATATAATTTTTCTTCATCACACTTCCCGATCATTTATCAAGAAAACACTAGGCCCCACATTCCTTGGGCCTTTGGGACCCTTAAGTGACAAAGTCCAGTACAAAAACCCAGGATCTGGGTTGGGCGATGAGCCTGTGATTTCACCTTTCCTACACCATTCCTGTCTCTTTCGGAGAACTGAGCAGCTTCTAAGCAGCCGACTCCCACACAGACATGCACGGCCATCCATTAATCTTCACTGAGCACCCACTGGCAGCGTAGCTCTACACCGGCTCTTCCCAGGCAAACAAATATTTAGTCATGAGAATTATTTCCAAATCCAGGAACACTTAAACAGAAATAGCATTCCTTATAACAGGAAAAAAATTAACAAGCTCAAGGGCTATCTAGAGAAACAGACAAAAAATATTAAAAATGGGACTGGAATAGCAATTTCTCTTTAATTCCTGGGTCTCCAAATTGTATTTCAGAACAAACACTCCCTTTGACTGAAGAATTGTAGCTTTCCAGCCAGAAAGGGTCAGTCTGTTTGGCATTATGGAATCATCACACGAGCTTTGGAACCTGATGGGTCTTAATTTGAATCCTACCTTTCTCCTTTAGTAGCTATGAAAGTTACTTATTTTCCCTGAGACCTGATTTCCTTTTCCAAAAAAATGGGAAGAAGACGAAAACCTAAATCACAGGGTTGTTGTGGCGACTGAGTTAGGGCATATCATTACAATGATATTCAGTGTATAATAAGAGCCCAAGAAATGTCAACATTCAGCTTAGCATATTGTAGGAATACTGAGTAGAGTGTATGTTCATAATTTGGATGGT